ACTCTCTTTGCCACCGCGTCCACATGGTTGGATCTTCGCGGAGGCATCTTACGAGCAGCTGAGCGCCATATCCCGCGCGGCAGCCGTGACATCTCCAAAAAAGACATGGACACACGAAATGGAACAAGCCGAGTCCGCCGCCGAAGCAGCACACGAAACACACACATTGCCTCACCCGGAGACAGCCTACTTTGAGCCGAATGTACCCGAAAAAGGGAGGAACGAAATCAAGCCTTACGCCGTTGCTCCGCTGTGCTTCTGGAAGCCCGCGCGAAAGGACTTGGAGCCTCACCCAGCCCGAGCTGGCGATATCTTCACGGCATGGCGGCGCCGCACCCTCATCCTCTGGAATCGGTTGTGCTCCGCACCGAACTTGGCCGCGTATGCGCCCTGCCTCGGCAACAGGCAAATCTGCTCGTCCATCATTTTGTGCGGTTTCACGTGCCATACCGCCTTATACTGCTGCTGCTGCTTGCTGCACTCCTTTGGTTCCTGGTGGCTGGGAAATGGGTCGGCCTTTCCCGCCGTATGAAATTGACGTGACCATCCGTGACTCTTTGCTTGGCTCAGCCCCTGGCTCCGACGACATGTTGAATGAATTCCTGCACCGTCTCGGGCCCGTCGCGTGTGGCACACTTAGAACGATGATCCACAACTCCTTCGCAAATGGCAGCCTGCCTGGCTCCTGGAAAATGGGAGACGCTATTCCTATCCCCAAGCCTGGGAAGGATCCATGCCGCCCAGAGAGTTACGGACCTATCACGCTGCTCTCTGTTTTACCAAAGTTAACCGAAAGAATGATTCACCGCCGTCTGTCAGCGTTATTGCCGCACCACCCACGTCAATTTGGCTTTACACCTCCGCGTTCTACGTCGGACGTGGTGGCACTTGTTATCGATAAATTACTCATGGATTGAATGAGTTTGGCATCGTGGAGTATGAGCGCCCTGGAGACGACGCCCCCACACGACACGCTCGTCGCCATCGCTCGCTCGTAGTTTCGATTGATTTTCCGACTGCGTTCGACACCACTGAGCATGGGAAGTTATTCTGCATGCTTGACAGACTTCCGTGCCTTTGCCCTCGAACCAAACGCTGGCTGCACAACTACCTGCGGGGCCGCTATGTTAGGGTATGCACTCGCGAACAGCACTACCGGAAACAACTCGCCTCAGCTGGAGTACCGCAAGGCGGCGTCCCGGGACCCCAACTCTTCCTCTACTGTGTGGATGATCTGCTGCGCCGCCTGGACGGCATCTATTCTGCCTCCGCTTTCATGCACGCTGACGAACGCACACTTGTTGCCTCAGGTGCAGACATCCATGCCTGTGCTGCGGCAATGCGACCGCTCTTGTCTCTTGTGGCCACATGGGCTGCCGAGCACAGCCTAAAAACCAACGTCGCTAAGAGCGAAGATGCTCTATTCTACATCTCTTCACACACACACGGTCTGACGAGGACATGGTCGATCTCCATCTTGTTAGCGGGAACCTACGTATTCAGTCACGCCCATTGCGCTTACTGGGCAACACGATTGATCGACTTCTTAATTTTGTTACGCATGCTTCCACCGCTTCAAAGAGGGCCATGCTACGCCGCTATCAGCTACGACTGGTCGCAGAGTCGGGCGCGTCCCATCACACCATGCGATCCTTTTTGATTGGGTACGTTCATAGTGTGCTATTTCATAATGGCGGGGCAATTGTCCCGTGACTCGCCCCCAGCTACCTCCATAATATGGAAGTACGGTGCCGCGACGGTAGCAAAACATTCTTTGCCTGAGCGCATCTACGGAAGACACATATGTCTATTTGGAAGCCAATATTCTTCCGCTCCGTAAGATACTTTGGCGTCGTGCACTCACACAATGCGAACGCTATATACGCCTCTATGATCACGAGGATTTGCGTTCCCTTATCTACTCGGAACCTATGCCGCCGTCCATGCATGGGAAAGCAGCGACATCGATCCCGCTTCAGAGAGATGCTGTTATTAATGGATTGCCACGCGTCTGTGAAATTATTGGGACACCCCACAACCACATTCGCGCGCCACTTGCCCAACATCGAATTTTTCCCTGGGACACTGTGATCCGCAACAAAGTGAGATTTTATCGGCCACTGTTTGCCAAAGACGCCTCTGACGATGTCAGGCGCACGGCTTTTGATTCTACTCACTCCTCTTTGTGGGATTGTGATTTTGAATTGTGGACGGACGGTTCTTCATATCTCGCTGCACTCGCATCTGGATCCGCTGCGCTATTATACGACTCCACCACGACAAATGATCTCCCTGTGGAGGTACATTGTGCAGCAGCTGGCAGCCTCGCATGCTCATATAGGGCAGACTGCCTTGCGATCGAAAATGCTTTTAGACATCTCATACCTCCTTGTCTGGGAACATCCCAATCGCCCACACGAATGCTGGAGGAAACGGACTCCCTCTCGGCAATTGAGGCACCCCGCGTTGCCCACCGACCGTGCGAGACCGCGTTACTGAGTAAATTTGTATTATGCTGCTTTCCTTGGTGAAGCGAGGTCACCCTGTGGATTTTATATTTCCCATCACACTGCGGTATTCCACGCAATGAGGCCGCTGAGGACGAAGTCACGATTGCACGATCCCTCTTGCAGGACTGCGTCAATACCTGGCACGTGGAATTCCTTACCGCCGTCAAGAGGTCATAATGGAAGGATGTCCAGGAGGAAAAGGAAGGCGCGCACACCGCGTGACAGGCGGCTGTCGGTGTGGCGAGGACTCTGTTCCTGGTGTTGACCCGGACATTGGTCCCCGAGTGGCGGCACTGCGCACAGGCGCGATGCGACTCCTGCCCACTCTTCGACAGGCCTGCACGCGCCCTGCGGATCACAAGGAACCCTCTGTGTCGGTGGTGCCGTCCCTCCCTGACTGCGGTGAGCGGCCCGCCTCTGCCTCCGCCGGAACCTCTTCCCGACGTGAGCACCGCAACTCCTTGTCGACCAGCGAGCGGCGGATTGACGTCCTCCTGCCCAACCTGCAGCAGAGTGCACTTGTCCGTCCACAGTATGAGGGCACATGCCCGACGTGCTCAGCCTGGCGTTATAATAGTTTGCGAGAGCCTCCCATGCGGATGCCACAATGGCGCCACCGTCTTCTTAACAGGTGCCTCGCGCGCAGGTCGCCACCGAAAATGCCAAGCACACCAGCAGGCAAGACACGCAGGAAGCACAAACGCGGGTACTCGAGATGGACCAGGCTCTTCCGCCACCGCCTCATCACGGACGCCACGGGCTGCTGATCCCCCGACGGACCACGGGAGACTCTGCCTCATCCACTGCGGGAATGCCCTCTTCGTTGGGAATCTGGACTGCGACTGTTTGTGACTGCCCCAGCCCGCACGACGGTCCGTTTGCGACGGAATACTTTCCACGTTATTGATGACGGCCCTTGCCCTACTCACTCGTTATTGTAGCAGCATACAACCAAAGCAAGATAACAAGCTGCTTTGTGGTGAATATTGGTTGCACTTCCCGTGGACCAACAATCCACGTGGTGTGCGAGGATCTCCTTTTGTATTGTTACTTTGCTTTTGTGTTGCTGTGTGCGCTGCACCTTCTTGTTTGTGTGCGCACCCTCCGTGAGGGGTGCCGACACGACGGACCGCTCTCGCCGTATGCACATGCGGTGGAGCCTTGTGTGCCGCTCCTGTTTGCTTCTCCCTCTTCCATCTGTGTGTTGGTGTTGCGGCAGGGCTGTGTGTGCCTGCTGCCGTGGATTGGAGTGTGTGTCGTGCGTGGTGTGCGGCGTACGGTGCATGCCTGGCTGCTGCCCTCTCCTCATGTGGTGTGCCCTCTGTGTGTGTCTGCCGCACCTCTCGTTTCCCCTGTTGCTCTCCATGTCCCTCACTGTGCAGATCAGCTCCACACCACTGAACGACCTCACTCACGATGATGATGACGTGCCGTCTGCTGTGCGCCCTGTTGGTGCTTGCCCTGTGCTGCTGCCCGCCCGTGTGTGCGTCAGGGGATACACCTGAAGAGCCTCCCAATACAACTACGACGACTACATCACAGGCACCTGACCCTACGAAGACTTTGCTTGGAGATGATGTAAGGACCACCAGTCTATCGCTTTCTTTGCCAGGGTCGCCAAGTAAGGAGTCCGTTGTGGAACGCGGAAAAACTGTGGGAGGGGGGGAAGGTTTCACCGATCAAGAAGCGCCAACAGATACGGAAGATCCGAAAGAAGTTAAGAAAGGCACGACTGGGCCAATACGTGGCAACAACCCACCCGCAAAACAAACAAATGAGGAGTCTGAAGCTTCCGCTCAGACAACGACAACGACGACTACAACACAGTCACCAACCACGACGACGACCACCACCACTACAACACATGCACCAAGTACTACGACTACTACAGAGGCGCCAGCTGTGTCGAGCACCCGCGCACCGTCACGTCTTCGTGAAATCGACGGCAGCCTCAGCAGCTCTGCGTGGGTGTGTGCCCCGCTGGTGCTCGCCGCATCCGCGCTGGCGTACACCGTTCTGGGCTGAAGAGGTGTGTGCGGGCTGTGCGTGCCAGCACCCAACCGCGGGGTTTGTGTGCGTGTGTTGTGGTCCACTGTATAAAATAAGAGAAATAATGATTGTGTTTTGCTTCACTTGCTTCTGCTGCCGTGCTGTGTGCTCCGCGTTGTGCCCCGCATCCGCCACGTTGAACGCATCGCGGACACACTCATATGCATGCGCACTGGAGCCCTGGGTTTGTTTTTCTTTTCTTTCTAATTTCTGTTTTTTAATTATTGTTTTTTATTGCTTTTTAAACTTGTGGTTTGCGGGGCGGTGTGCGAGCTCTGCAATCGTACTGATTCCATCTGTCTCGTGGTGTGTGCGCTGCTTCTGCTGGGGTGCTGCCATTTGTTGCTGTGCGTGGTGTAGCGGCCGTGTTTGTCTTTTTGCTTCCCTCTCTGTTGACGGGGAGTTACTTTTGCTGAAGGCTGCATGCAAGAGACAGGAGTGATGGCGATGATGACTGGCCGTGTGCTGCTGGTGTGTGCCCTCTGCGTGCTGTGGTGCGATGTTGTGGTGCCAGCGGCTTATGGCCTTGTCAGTGACAGAAGTGTTGTGGAGGAGGATATGGTCTTAACTTGGTATCCTGTGTTCAATGAGACATGCAGGAACAAAAGCACGAAGGAAGGAATGTTGGATGAGTTGGCGATGAAGAACTGTATGCGTACTGCAATGAAAGATGTTTGTGAAGCTTATTATATTGAGAAGTCGACCAAATCTCATGAGCCTGAAGCTGACCGTATTTGCAAGAAGTACGCTGGCGATACAGAGGAGGTTGTGCAACCATCAATACCACAAACCAAAGAGTCGCCTGATGCGGAAATACAGGTGGCAGCAGCAACTCCAGAAACACCGAAGGGCGGCGCAGCAGGAATGGGATCAAAACCGGGAGCACCAGCGGGTGATTCATCAGCAAATACGACGGAAGGGCCGGAATCAACCTCAGCTGCCACCGACACTTCAATTAATGAGGCTCAAAAAGGCGGTGAATTGGCGATGCCGAAGAATGCACCGGAATCCGATTATGCAGGGAGAGGAGAAGGAGAACAGGGTGAAGAGAAGCACAGTAATACGAAAGAAACACCAGCCAAAGCCGAGACAATGAAAAACATCACGACGATTGCCGAGAGTGACAGCAGCACCGCGGTCTCCCACACCACCTCTCCTCTTTTGCTTCTTCTTGTTGTTTTGCGGCTGCTGCTGTTGCTGCGGTAGTGGCCGCGTGAGAGTGAGGGAGAGAGAGCCGTGCACCGCCCGCACACACACTCGTATTTTACTCACTCTCTCTGTGTGTCCCCTTGCATGGACTCTCGCCCTCACCTCATCCCACGAAGCACACACATAATGTGCCCATTGTATATATGCATGCACACCCATGCAGGCCCGTTGGTGCTCTCTTTTGCACGACACGCACCGCTGCCGTCCTGCCTGGCTGCATGGGCGGAGCACCGTGACTGTTTCTGTTTTGTTTTTATTGCATTGAGTGGGCGACCTCTCTCTCTCCCGGCTGTGCTTTACGGGAGCAATGAGAGTGTGTGCGCTGGTCGTCCCACGCTTCGGCTTTTTGTTTTTTCTTTTGTTGTTTTGTGGTTGAGAGCACCCATTCCGCGGGCTGCGTGTGTGTGTGTGTGTGATGATATGAGTAATTTTTGCGTGTGTGCCATCCGCTTCTCTCTGCCGTTGCTTTCTTCTGACTCTCTTGTGGCGCACAGCTGCTCTGCAAAAATAGGCTCTGAAACACACACACACACACACACACACACACGCACACGGGCACACATACATACACACACTGAGAACGTACGCACACACACGATTCTGGCTGCTGCGGCCCTTGGGATGAGGGATGGCGTGTGCACGCGATTTATTCCCCTTGTCGTGATGCGGGCGTGGGATGTTGGCGGCGTGCAACAGCTTACTAATGTGGTTTTTTATTGACGGTGCCTCGGATAGGTGCGGAGCGATTCCCGCCCAGCGGCTGGAGGTGCCTCTCCCGCTGTGTATTTGATGGCGGGGGATTCCCCGGCTGTGCGAGGTGATGTGCGCCGGCGGCGGAGCGGGTGTGATGGAGGGACAACAGTGGAACGACTGGCTGACGGTAGCGCGTGGATGCTGCGAAGGGCGGCTGTGGCCTTTTGCCTCCCGCTGGTTCTTTTATGTGTGTAAGCGTCGCCTGGTGTATGCTGAAGCGTGGCAGAAGCACCTGCCGTGGCTCCTGCTGGTGGTGACCGTCGCTGTGTGTTCCCGGTGCAGTGGTCTTCCTTCTGCTGTTCCGTGTGTCCGTGTGCGTGAGTTGTTGTTTTTGGGAGTGACTGCGACGTGGATGGTAGTACGACTCACAGTGGATGGGTGGCGGTGCTCGCTGCCTCACCTCTTTACTTGGCTTGTTTTCTCTTCTCTCTCCGCCTTACGCATACACACGCTAGAAAGGAAGTTACGACCAAGCGCGAATCGCCACTGTGAAATTCGAAGGCACTGAAAGGACCAACAACACACACACCGCCCACACACATATATTTATATGCACTCACGTGTTGCTGCCGTGAAGGCACCCCGCACACACAACCGTCGCCGCGTGACCGGATCCAGCGGAAGGAGGAGGGAAGGAAGAGAGAGTGAGCCGCAGAGGCCCAACATGTCGCAGCGTGTGTTTACTTCCGCGGTGCTGCTCCTCCTCGTCGTGATGATTTGCTGCAGTACTTGTGGAGCTGCGCAAGGTGAGGAGGATCAGTCGTCTGATCCCCAGTTTCAATGGAAGGGCATCAGTGAGGGTGAAGGTGATGGAAATCTGGAGTTGTTTGGAATTCCCGGCCTTTTGAAAGTTGGAAGTGATGCATTTGCCGTTGCCGAGGCGCAGTGCAAGAAGGACGAAAACAACGTCTTTACTGGCGTTGCATCCCAACTTCTCACGATAAAAGACGATAACAAACCGGAGGAAGTTCTGAAGGATGCCAGAGTGGTACAATTTCTGGAGGAAGGCGCTTCCACAAGCAAGGGAGTGGATGTGAGCCGGCCAACAACAGTTGTGAATGGAAATGATATTTACATGCTTGTTGGGAAATGCAGCCGGACAGATGCCACTGGTGTTCAGGAGAGTGGTGCCGATGACTGGGGGCTATTGCTGGTGAAAGGGGAAGTCAGTGATGAAGAAGAAAGTAACAAACAAATTGACTGGAAAGATACTAAACGTCTCCCGACGACACCTTTCGGCGAACAACTTTCATCCTTGACACGGCTGATCGGAAGCGGTGCATCGGGTGTTAAGATGGAGGACGGTACGCTTGTGTTCCCAGTGGAAGCCGAGGAGAGGGAGACTGACAAGGAGGAGGATGGAAAGACAACTACCGTTTCGCTGATCATGTACTCCTCGGATCCTGCGATTTGGAAGCTGTCGAAGGGGATTTCTGCCGAAGGCTGCAGTGATCCCTCCGTCGTGGAGTGGAAGGACAAACTCATGATGATGACTGCGTGTGATGATGGCCGCCGCAGGGTGTACGAGTCCGGTGACAAGGGGGAGTCGTGGACGGAGGCACTCGGGACACTCTCGCGCGTGTGGAGCAACAGAAAGGTCGGAAGTGAGAAGGCCGTTGGGAGCGGGTTCATCACAACGACCTTTGGCAATGATAATAAGGAAGTGATGCTCGTTACTCTGCCGGTTTATTCCAAAGAAAACCAAAAAGAAAAAGAAAAGGGCGAACTCCATCTTTGGCTGACGGACAATACGCACATTGTTGATATTGGGCCGGTATCTAGGGAAGGACGAAGATGCTGCCGCCAGCTCCCTGTTGTACAAAAGTATTACAAGTGGAACTGATGATAATAATAATGAGAAGTTGATTGCACTGTACGAGAAGAAGGGCGATGGGAAACCATCACCCGGTATGGTCTGTGCGTCTGACTGCGCAGCTGGAGCGGGTGAAGGAGGTGCTGGCGACCTGGAAGGAAGTGGACAAACATGTCTCCCAGCTGTGCGCTTCTGAGAGCGCTGTGCAGGCTACCTCACCTGACAATGCCTGCAAAAAAAGTAAGATCACGGATGGGCTGGTTGGCTTTTTGTCCGGCAACTTCTCTGATGACACATGGAGTGACGAGTACCTCGGGGTGAACGCCACAGTAAAGAAGGGAACGAAAGAAGGAGTGCCAGCAGCGGTAGCAGAGACTACAGGGTCTTCCGATGGAGTGACGTTCACAGGGCGCGTGGGCGGAGTGGCCCGTTGGCAGTCAGGGGGAGAATCAGCTGTACCACTTTGCGAATTACAACTTCACTCTTGTGGCGACGGTGTCCATCGACGGTGAGCCGACGAAGGAGGGTCCTATTTCTTTGATGGGTGCGAAGATGAAGGATGCAGAGAATCCAGTACTTCTTGGACTGTCGTACAACAATAAAGAGAAGAAGTGGCAGGTGCTGTGCGGTGGGAAACCGACGGAGGTGCAAAACCGCATTGAGGGGCAAGAGAAAACACACCAGGTGGCCATTGTGCTGCAGAACGGCACTCAGGGCTCCGCGTACGTCGATGGTCAGCGTGTGAGAGATGAGCAATGTGAAGTGGAAAATACGGAAGATAAAAAGATCTCCCACTTCTGCATTGGAGGGGATGGAGGCAACACAGAGAGCCAAGAAGGCGTGTCTGTGACGGTGACGAACGTCCTGCTGTACAACCGCCCGTTGGTTGACGATGAGATTACTGCGCTTAATGCACTTAAAGCCCCGATTACGCCTCCGAAGACCGAAAATGCGCAGGAAATTGTGTTGCCGTCTTCTGGCAGAACGCCGCATACGGGAAAGGAACCTTTGAATGCAGGTGAAGGTGCGGACGGTGGAAGTGCATCCCAAGCAGCTTCCATTGCTTCGACTTCCATACCTGTGGGGCAGACCGTACAGCAGTTGGCTTCTGAAACATCTTCCGATGGAAATGCAGATGTGGATGGCGCTTTCTCGTCTAGCGGTAACCCAACGGTGGGGGAGGGGAGTGCAGATACGATACAGGGGGATGGACCACACACACCTTCCGTGGGTGATACCGCCGCCACAGCAGATACAAACGTGCTTACCGCTAAAGGCGAGGGGCACGATGGACCCGCATTGACACCTGAAGCGAGCGTGAGCTCTGGTGCGGATGGGGAGACGGCAGGAGGAACGGGTGGGCAGGAGGAGGAGCAGATCCATCCGCAGGACAGGGACGCAAATGCTACGGCCCTCAGCAGCAGTCTTGGAAATTTGTCGCAGGGGAATAACAGCGATGCCGGCACTGTGCGTGAAAGGAGGGTGCTGCCGCTGCTTCTTCTGCTGTTGGGACTGTGGGGGTTTGCGGCTCAGTGAGGGGTGACTGGCAGCCGCGTGGGGCAATCGCGATCTCCCCTGCACAGAATTGCGTCCAAGAAATAATTCTTTTGAAAAACTTTTTTTTCGCTTTTTTACTTTATTTACATTTTATAATTGTTTTTTTTCCTGTGCGTAATATAAGCCTTTTTTGTGCGTTTTTTCATTTTTCAATGTTTTTGTTTTCCTTTAAAAAATATTTCTGTTTTGTTGTTTTAATTTTTTATTCCCATCCCTTCTTTTTTTTTGCTTTTGGGGGCAATCACTGTGGAGGTTCTTTGTTTCTTTTCTACTCTTCCCTCTTTTTAATTGTTTGTTGCCGCACTCTTCCTGTGAGGGGTGCCGTGTGTTTCCCGCCCAACTGCTCCACTCGCACACCCACCGACACGCTCATGACGACGGCCCTGTGCGCCTCGCCTGCTGCACGCATGAGGAGGGGCCGCGACGAACGGCGCGCTGAGGGAGCCGTGACGTGTGGGCGTGCGACGAGGGCCTGTGGGGCGGAGCACACATTTCTTTCCCTCTTGTTTTGTTTTCTTTTTTGCGGCCAGGGCGGGCAGACACCCGCAGCGCCACACACACAGCCACACTCCGCCGCCGTGTATTTTAGGATTTTTTTTGTTTTTGTGGCTGTGTGTGCTGCCACCGTGTGTGATTGTTGAGGTTGGGCCGTACCGCATGTATCGCTGCCATCCAGCTGTGCCTCTTGCTGTGCTGATGTGCCTCCCTGTAATTCTCCTCTTTCCCGCTCCTGCAGCACACAACCACACACACAGTCATAATTATTTGCACAGTGCACTGAAAGAATTTGTTGGCGACGGCTGGAAGCCTTTTTGCATTCCGCTTGGGGCCGGCTGACGCGGCTGCACGATGCCCGCCATGTGTGAAGGTGTTGCCTGCTCTTGGGGTCATTCTTCTCTTCCCTTCTGTTTTCTTGCACTTCCGAGTGCGTGCGCTGCTTGGTGTGTGCTGGCGCGTGACGGACGGTGCCATGATCGCCTCCTCTGACGGTGACAGTCGCTTTGTTCTCGGCACACACCCACGCACCCTTGCTTGTCTTTCTGTGGGAGTGATTGCAGTTTGCCAGTGCTGCGAGCGTGATGGGGACCACGACGGCGTCACCCCTCGAGAGGGTCCCGCGCACTGTTGGTTGTGGAGGGGCGAGGCGGTTTGCCTGCAGCCTGACTGACAGAACCGCACAGTCGTTTCATTGCGGTCACTCCGTCGGCATCATTCGCTGCGGTGGTGTCCGCAGGAGCCGCAGCCCCGATGAGGATGGCCTCGTAGTTATCTGGCAGCTCATACCTTCAGGCCCTTCGCCATTCAGGATTGCCCTTGCTGCTCGACTAGCGCAGCACCGGCCCGGCATAGTTCTTCTTCAGGAGTGCAGGCAGCAGAGTGCCCCAGCGACGAGGCTCATTGGCTGCAGTGACTTCCACCAGGCCTGCAGTGGGCGTGCCGGTGGCGTGGCCCTCTTGGTGCGCCACACCTTGCCGTGCGAGCGCCTGTCGCTGCTGGAACCAACTGCGTGGAGACCACCGCCCTCCGCGTGTGCCCACCGGCCTGCCCCAGCATGTACGTGGTGAACCTCTGCAACCTTCCCACGGCAATGGCTCACGCTGTTCACCTTGCGAGCACCATTCGTCTCCCTGGTTCTGCAGCGCCCATTGCGGGTGACCTGAATTCACACCATGAGCTGCGGGACGGTCCTTCACCATCCACGACGGCAGGAGAGAACCTCGCCGCCACCCCAAGCGGCATGGAGATTGAGCTTTCCGACGACCCGGCACAGGCAACGCGGATCAGCGGCCGTCACGTCTTGTTTCCCGACGTGACTGCGCAATGCGTACTGCGTGTCTCCCACTGGACGTCCACCAGTTTGGACTCGTATCAACATCTGTCATCCCACACTGCGGGGACGGAGGACGGCATCCCGCGACAGGCAGGCATGCTGCCACGACGGAAACATGCTGCCTTTGCTATGTGTGCAGCTGACTGGAATGATTCCACCACGGCGTTTCACACGCCTCTGGCCACTGTGACCACATGGTTGGAGATGCACCGAAGCACCATACAAGCGGCAAGGAGCGACATCCCGTGCGGCAGCCGTGACAGCTCCACAGGAATGTGGACGGACGGAATGGAGCGTGCCGAGTCCACTGCAGCGGCGGCGTGCAACGCGCACACTGCCTCACCAGGAGGCAGCCTGCCCCGAGCTGAAGTTCTCCGCAAACGGGAGGACTGCAATCATGCCCTTCGCGGTGGTTTCTCCATGCTGCTGAAGGTCCGTGCAAAGCAGCTTGGTGCCCTCTCGAGCCCAGGCCTGTGATACCCCGAGGCATGGCGGTACCACGTCCCCGCTGTCTGGGATCGGCTGTGCTGCGGTACTCTTGGGAGTGCGTCTGTGCTCTGCCTCGGCAAAAGGCAAACCGCTCGTCCGTCACACTGTCCGCGTCTCACGTGCTGTGATCCCCACAGCTGCCTGCACAGTTTGTGCTCGCGTGCCTCTGGTGACTGGAATATGGATTGGCCCTTCACGCCGTGTGCGCCTGACTCGGCCATCCGCGACTGTTTGCCTGGCATGGCCCCTGGCCCCGGCGGCGTATTGAGTGCGTTTCTGCTCCATCTTGTACCCGCTGCCCGCTGCTCCCACAGAACGATGATCAACACCTCCCTCGCCGACGGCATTCTGCGAAGTCCTTGGGAAATGGGGACGCCACTTCCATCCACATGCACGGGAAGGACACACGCCGCACAGGGAAATTTGTCGGCCACTCACGCTGCTCTTTGTCCTGCTAGGTGTGAGCGAAGGACTGGTCCACTGCCGCCTGTCAGCACTGCTGGCACACCACCGACGTCAGCCTGGATCCACGCCACGACGCACGGCCTCGGAGTTTGTGACGACTGTGAGTGACGAAGCGGCACGATGGCTGAGCAGGTGCATCGCTGTGGAGTTCGAGCGTCGCAGGGGCGTCGTTCCGCGCTGCACCGTCGCCGTTGCCGCTCCCTCGCCGTCCCGATCGGCATCTCGACTGCGTTCGACACCGTTGGCGATGGGCGAGTGCTGGCTGTGCTCTGCGGGCTCCCGCGCCCGGGCCGTCGCGCCCAACGCTGGTAGCACAATCGCCTGCGAGGCGGCTGCGTTGGGGTGAGTGCTCGCGAGCAATATTCCCGACAGCAGCTTCCCTCAGCCGTGGCAGCCCAATGCAGCGTCGTGCGGCCCCAGCTCCTCCACCGCCACGTGGATGGTCTGCTGCGCCGCCTGGACAGCATTCACTTTGCTTCGGCGTTCATGCACGCTGACGACCGCACGCTTGTTGCGTTGTGTGCGGACCTCTGTGCCTGTGGTGCGGCAATGCCAGCTGCCGTGTCCGTTGTGGCCACATGGACTGCCGAGCACTGCCTGAGTATCAACGCCGAAAGGAGCGGTGCCGCTCTGTTCTGCATCGCCTCACACCGACAGTCTGACGAGGACGCGGCAGACCATCGTCTGGGCGGTGGGAACCCACGCGTCAATCCCACAGTGTGCGTCTGCTCGGCAACGCGATTGATCGACACCTCAATTTTGTTTTGCACGCCACCGCCGCTGCAGGGCAGACCGTGCCACGCCGCCGTCAGCTGCGGCTGGGCGCAGGAGCTGGTGCGTCCCAGCACACCATGCGATCCCTTCGGGTTGGGTGCGTCCACGGTGCGTTGCACCACGGCGGTGAGGCAATCGCACCGTGTCGGCCCCCACTCGCCTCCACAGCCTGGAAGTGCGGCACGGCGACAGCTGCACATCATCGCTCGTCCCACGCGTATCATCGAAGGATACCTCTGTCCACCTGGCCTCCAGTCCAGCACCGCTGCGGAGGATCGTTGGGTTCCGCGCACCCACACGGCACGAACGTCTCTCACTTCTCCGTTATATTGAGGACGTGCGTGGCGCAGTATGCTCGGAAACCACACCTTCGTCAATACCTGGGAAGGCAGCGACGACCATTCCGCTGCCGGGAGATGCCGTCCTCAAGGAGCCGCGACGCGTCCGCAGCCGCATGGGGATCTCCCCGGACCGCATCCGCGCCCCTCTTGTTGAGCACCGAGTTTTAGCCTGGGACACTGTGAGCTGCAGCGGGGTGGACGTCTTCCGGCCACGGCACGCCAAGGACGCCCCGGACGGCGTGAGACGATCGGCCGTTGAAGCGGCCTGCACCTCTCTGGGACTGTATGACGCAGGTCGCTGGATGGACGGCACGTTGTCTCTCGCTGAGCATGCATCTGGATCCGCTGCACTGCCACTTGACTCCCCGGACAGCGGAGCTCCCTGTGGAGCCTCACCGCACAGCTGCTGGCAGCCTTGCATGCACCTGCCGAGCGGAGCGTCCTGATACTGAGCATGGCCTCGGACAGTTTTCAGTTCCCCGCCTGGCAGCAGCATCCCAATCGCCCACACGAGTTCCTGTCGCCACAGCCTCCCTCTCGGCGATGGAGTCGCTCCGCCTTGGCCAGCTGGCGGTGCACGACGACGTCAGCAAGGAGATTTGTATTGTGCCGCTTTCACTGGCGGATCGAGGTCGCACAGCTAGCTCTACATTTTCCCCATGACACTGCGGAATCCCACGCAAAACGTGACAGCGGACGCTGATGCCGTCATGGCACGATCCCTCCCGCAGGACTGCGTCACTGCCTGGCACGTGGAATTCCTCACTGCAGTGAAGCGACGGCACTGGAATGGTGTCCAGGAGGAAAAGGAAGGCGCACACACCGCGTGACAGGCGGCTGTCGGTGTGGCGAGGACTCTATTCCTGGTGTTGACCCGGAAATTGGTCCCCGAATGGCGGCACTGCGCACAGTCGCGATGCGACTCCTGCCCACTCTTCGACAGGCCTGCACGCACCCTGCAGATCACAAGGAACCCTCTGTGTCGGTGGTGCCGTCCCTCCCTGACTGCGGTGAGCGGCCCGCCTCTGCCTCTGCCGGAACCTTTTTCCCGAAGTGAGCGCCGCAACTCCTTGCCTGCCAGCGAGCGGCGGATTGACGTCCTCCTGCCCAACCTGCAGCAGAGTGCGCTTGTCCGCCCACAGCATGAGGGCACATGCCGGACGTGCTCAGCCTGGCGTTATAATACTTTGCGAGGGCCTCCCATGCGGATGCCACAATGGCGCCACCGTCTTCTTAACAGGTGCCTCGCGCGCAGGCCACTATCGAAAGTGCCAAGCGCATCAACAAGTCAAATACGGACAACGCAACTCTGCAATTTGCAACGACAACCATAGCCCTTCAGACACTACTCTACCGCAAGCCCTCACCGGCCGCTGATCCCCCGACGGACCACGGGAGACTCCGCCTCATCCACTGCGGGAATGCCCCGTCGTCGACCACTGAGCATTCGAATCTTCGGAGAAAATTTATTTCGCATGACAGCGTTATTCGAGACGGGAAAGTTGTCCACGTTTTTACGAACAGCCCTCGGGCGATCAACGAATAGTGACAATGTCGTATAACAAAAAAAAAAAAAAAGGGAAAAGAAGGCTATTCTGTGTTTATCGATGTTTTTATTGTTTTATTTGCTTCCCACAATTACGGGTTGCAATGATGTTCTTCTAAACCTAATCTTCGCACAACGCACAAATGCCACGGAGGAATATCGCACGGAAGCAGGTAGTGGACGCAACCAAAGAAGCATAACAACACATCAGCAAACGGATATAGCAATGTGAAACAAAAAGCACAGAAACGTCACGTACGGAGCGGAACGGGCACTAGTTGTGTGTGCGCGCGGCGGCGGCAGACATCCTCGCTGTCCTCCTCTCCCGCCTTACTTCTCTCTCCCCCCGGTGTGGGCGAGCTGCCCGCGGTGACGCACTGAGGGTCCGCTCGCTATTAAAGGGGATGGCGGGCACGGTCTCGTGGAGGCGGTTGGGCTGGGCGGCATCAGCGTCACCATCTAACGATTCCTCCGTTGGCTCGTCGGGGAGCACGCTCAGATTTCTCGAGTTACATACATAAGAAGCTCCTCATCACGTGCTGCCGCAGTGCGAGATCATAACGGGGAGTGCGTGGGTGATCGCCCACGCAGCTGACCCCTGGCAGTGCAAAAAGACCGCCCATTTCACTTGCGCACAACACCCGCTCAACTACAATTGCATGGCTCAGTTTACAGCCACAGACGAGCAACAAATGACACATCAAAGAGACCCAAGCCAAATACAATAACAAAATAGAGGCCTCCAACGCCTTCAAGCGCACGCGCAGCACGCGTCTATCGCCCTATTCATCCACCCCGTCGTGGTCGGTCGCCAACCAAAGTATGATCCTTGTTTTTGAACCTTCGTTTTGCACTTGGCTGATTCTCATTGCTCGCATATACAATTTTTCCTTCTTATTTACATTCCTTTCCCGGCACTCCCGCCAAACCCGTTGTTGTTTCCTTTTGGAACTTTCCCTCCGGCCGCCGCTTCAGTGTGCCGAGATGTGGGCAACGAGGTCCAGTACCTTGTGGGAGTACCCGGTCTCGTTGCCGTGCCATGAGGCAAGCTTCACGAAGCGATCGTTGAGGGAAATGCCGGCCTTGACGGCAAAGACGGACGTCAGCGCGACGCCACCCATGTCGGTGGAAACAGCCTCGTCTTCCGTGTGGCCAAGAAAGCTCTTCAGCTTCCCCTCGGAGGCTGCATCGGTGGCGGCGCGGAGCTGCTCGTATGCCGCCGGCCTCTCCAGGCGCGCGGTGAAGTCGACAACCGACACGTTTGGAGTCGGCACACGGAACGCCATGCCGGTCAGCCTGCCGTTCAGCGCGGGAATGCCTTTCCCAGCCGCCTTGGCCGCTCCGGTGACGGACGGGACGATTTTCCGCGCCGCACCGCGACCACCGTGCCATTCTTTGAGCGATGCGCCGTCCGCTGTTTGTTGCGACGCCATGGTGGCGCGCGCTGTGGCCATGAGACCCTCAACGGCACCGAATTTTTCATGAGGGATCTTCGCGGGCGGCGCGAGGCGTTGGAGACGATTTGCTGTCCCTTGCAAATCGTGTCTTTCACACCCACGAAAAGCGTGGGCGTGTCGTCCCCCGGCTGGCCTGTCATGACGGTTTTTTCGCGCCGGCCTGGGCGTGCCCGCGGGCGGTCCCATCGGCGAGGAAGAGACCCGTCAACTCGAGCGCGGCCGCCGTGTCGACCTCATCCCGCCCGAGATTGGCGTGGCCGCGCTCACTCGTCACGAGGGTCTTCTCTCCGTCGGCGGTGCGGCCATGAGAGTCGGCAATCTCCATGTCGCTGCCGCGCCGCCAACGCATAGCGGAGTGCGCCCCGAAGCGCCGGCGACGTTCCCGCAGGAGCGACGCGCCTGATCCGGAGGCCGCGGCGAAAAACGCACGTGGAAGTTGGCGTTGCGCGTGCCGCGGTCGGTTGCCGGGCCAGTCGGGCAGGGACGCTGCGGCCAGTCATTTCCGCACTGCCCAGGGTCGTGTGGGCGGACCGGGAGACACACCATTCGGAGCCCCCCAGCGCAAAGCGAAGAGCCCAACGGGAGACGGCCGCCGTGGCGTGGTGCCGGGGACTTTTTCCCCGCATTCCCGGGGAGGCCAGGAGTGTTTCCCTCGCGGGGCCGCGCTGTCGCCGGGCAGCTCCGCTTAGTAGGGCGTACTTGCTTCACGATGACGGCTGGCGTGTGGGCCGTCGTCTTTGTCTAAGGTGCGGGGGAAAGAGAACGAAAGAACAACAACGAGAGAACGCATTGTCTTCCAACGAGGGCTTTTTGAGCCGTCGACTTTTTTTCCTGCTTCGCGAGAGCGGCGCTGCTCCCTGTTTTTCGTTGGTATTCTTCTCGGGTTTTGAGGTTTAGGGTCTGTTTTTCGTTTTGAATTAGGGGCTTGTTCATGTGGTTGCCATTACGTGTGCGATGAAAAACTTTTTAGGCGTGAGATGGAAGGCTGTTTTTTTTTTTCTTTTATTGCTTTGCGCGACCCGTTGGTTATGGATTACTTTTCGTACTGAGGTTGATCATTCCTTCACATGGCTAGTGCGGTTTTTTCTTTTACGCTTTTTCTTTTTTGTATTTGGTAAAATAGGCTACCATTATTTCATGATGTCTTTGTCACGACCTTCACTTTTATGCTGGCTGGCCCTGTATCGTGCATTGCCTTCTTTTGCCTTTGAAAATGTTCCAACCAATAAAAGGCAAAAAGTTCGACCGTTTTTGTTTATGAAGGAAATAGATGTGGCGGTTGCTCAGGTCTTCGGTTTACTGTTCCTGTGTTTTTTGTTTATTGTTATGGGGCTTGGCTTTTACTACTTCTATACCATGCGTTTGGTAAAGAGGGCCCGACGGAAGGTGGAGTGAAATGTTTACTGTTGGTTAGAAAATAATTTAAAGGCAAAGTTAGAAATTTAAGAAGGAAAATGATGCGGTTATTTTTTGTATCTTTGGCTTAGTCTTTTTTTTTCTTATTATTTGTACCTGATTATTGTACTTTCCTAAGAATGTGGCTCTGATATGGATTAATTCCATTTTGTTGTCACTATATAGTTTAGTTGAAACAATATCGCATGCATTATGAGGATTTTGAGGTGATTACTGCCGAGAATGGTGCCTCATCACTAAGTTTTGAACTTGCTTGTGCCACAGCAATGGATCATTACATTCGGTGTACGGCACCACATGACAAGCAGGAAACTGACAAGTATATGTCGCCGTGCTCAACTGGCCTTCGGGT